TTGGAGAATCCCAGGAGCCACTAAAAAATAAGATCTATCCCTCAAGAGTGCAGAAACAAGCTCAAAAGTGTGACTCAAATATATCATCAGCAATTTAGTAAAAAAAACCAAGAGAAATAAAAATACTTTAGCATATCAGAAGAATTACAAAATATTTAGCATAATATTTCTTAATAAAATCCTAGGGTTTGGAGAAAGGGCTCATAATTTTTTAATTCTTCAGTTGGCCAGTCTGACAAGAAAAACATTTCCCTTTTTTTTTTTTAATGATGGTAAATTATCTGATACAACACCCTGCAATTATGAGTATTACACTGAGACAATGCAGAAAAAGTTATGGAATCATAACTTAATCATTTAAGTGATTATTGTATTTTATAAATGTTTAATGTATCATCACAGGCATGTTCGTGCTCATTTGGCAAATGTTGTATTGATTGCTGCTCTAAAGGCCCATTCAGGTCAGCACAGATAATGATTGTTTGGGAATTTTCCACCCACAATGGTAAGGAAATTATAGGGTTTATTTGTCCTTTAAATGTAGTTCTCGAAACCACTTTAATTCTGATTTAAAAAAATATAAAAATTAGTGTTTTGCTTGCTGGCTAATCACTGGTTTGCTCTGCCACTGATGCAGGGAGAGTATTATTGCTGAAGTGAGATGGTAGATACTGAAGAAAAAAGCAGAAAATGTAGAATTTTTCCCTGAATAACAACAAAAAAAAAGCTTCTTTAGTAAGAAAACAACAAACAGGGCTGAGACGAGATAGAGGAATTGTGAGCTGCTCAAGACCACCGTATGGGTTTAGTGATTTGTAACAAAGAATGCAATAAAAATATAATATAATAAAAATATAATAAAAATATAACATTTCAGCAATAAAAATATAACATTTTATTAGAGAGAAATCCCAGGGCCATGATATGGCTTTTTTGAGGATTTTTAAAGGGGAAGGAAATGATAATGAATGATGAGACAGAGGGTTTGTGTGGGAGTTGGGCAGTGCAGAGGCAGCTGCAGTGAACTTTTCAGAGTGTTATCAGCCAGGTTTGCATCCCGTTTCTGGTGATGCCGCCAACCTCACACAGGACAGGACCCTGCTGGCAGGTTTCAGGAGCACAGGGCACAGGATTGGGTCCAGGCAGGTCTGAGTGTGCCCAGGGGGAGATTTCACATCATCTCTGAGCATCTGTGCCCCTGCACAGGGAGGAAGCTTTTCCTCAGGTCCAGGTGGAACTCCTGGGCATCAGTTTCTGCCCGCTCCTCTTGTGCCATTGCTGGGCACCATCAAGAGGAGCCTAATAAATTTAATAAATTTATTAACTAATTTACTAAAATGTGTGTGCAGAGATAAAATCCCATTCCAGGCATCTCCTCTCGGGGTTGAAGAATTCCAGCTCAGCCTTCCTCACAGCAGAGATGCTCCAGCGCCCTCGGCACCACCCTGGCTTTTCGCTGCACCCTCTCCATGCCTTGTGCGGATAAATTTTTATCCTCTATTGTGTTTAGTTTCTTTCAAGCCATTTCCCCATGAGGTTAGACCCACGGCGGGTTTATTCCCACCCAGCCCCTCTCCCATGCCCACAGCCCGGCCATGCAGCGCC